AACTCTGCAAAAAACGCATCTTCGCACGGGCAGCCCGTGCGTTGGCCAATTTTTTTTTTTTTTTTAAACACAAGAACCAGTAAACTAGGGGGCAGAAATTTTAGGGGAATTTCTTCTGCCCGCGAGAGGTCCGGCAAATCCAGATGTGTGTCTGGGTCTTGCGCACGGTCACATAAAATTTTTGGAGGGAAATATTGTTATCTTGGGGGCTACAAGAGGTAGGAAGCTGAAATTTTAAGAGAATGTCCCCTGTTCATGTATGACTCCACAAATTATGTCTAGATCGCAGATAGGGACAAGTGGAAATTTCGACGGGCAAATCACTAACTCGGTAGTCTGAAAGATTCCGATGCTGAAATTTTAGGAGGTTCTTCTACATTTGCACTTAATTTAAATTTTTTAAATTAAACTGTTGCTTAATTCTGAACCTCACAACCATGTGAAAATCGACACGAAACTTATTAACTCGAAAGGCAGGAAACTGGGGGCTGAAATTTTGGGAAGAGCTTCCTCGTCCGTCTGCGATTCAGGGGTTTCAAGATCAGCTTCCACATACTCGTGCATGAAATCTTTGGTGCGGATTTTCGCAGTCCAGGAACCAAACATATCGACTATTTTTGCTTATATTTAAGTATGAAACAGTGAAAATCCTCACTTGGCAATCGTGCGCTGAATGGAACTGCATAAAGCGCATGATTATGACGGCTGTTATATAGGCCCAAATGTGCAGCTTTTCATTTAATTATTAGGGATGCGCTATTTTAAAAATGACAGTTCGGGTTGATAAACACCAGCTTTAGTTTGAAAAGATCAAAATTTTCATGTTCGAGGCTCATTGGCGAAATTAATGCGACTTCTTTCTTGTTCAAATGCTTCAGGACGGCTTAAAACTAAAATCAGTTGCCAATAAGAAACACAGATTATGTATATGTAAACAGTTTCAGATGTGTTAATTTGCGCCGGGTTGTTAGTAGGAGGCCTTAAGCTATTGATTTTAACACTAACGAATTTGAATATAAGCTTGTAAAAACGCGAGATTCCCCCCGCTCCCCGTATAGCCAGTTGTGAAAGATGTATTTAATGAAATGAGTGTTCGGGGGAGTTGGTTGAGCGGAATGGGGACAGGATGTTCATCCGTTTGCTTAGCTGTTCTTCGAGGAACGGAGTTGAATTAACATCGCTTTAACTGTGTTTAGGTTGAGCAATGAGAACGCTAGCTTGGCAAGTTCAGTAAGTTCGTCAATGCTGAGTGGCGGCACTTCATCAGTGCTCATCCCGCAACCGGCCTCTGGTGTCGTACGTAAGCCAAGTGCTCGCTGTGCGGTTGTACGTCCGATGATTGACTTGAAGCGCGAGGTGGATGATGCAAACAAAGCCAACATCCGCAATCTGTTTCACAATATGGATTTTGCTACTGCGTAAGTGCTTCTACGCCATTTTCATCGTAGTCGAGTGAGGTTTTTTGAGTTAAATTATTGCTGCTTTGCTGGAGGCAGTTCTTTCAAAGCTTTTCTCTTATCAGAAGCAATGGCTTCTTGCGCACATTCGTCGTAGACGTTGAGAAGTTTGATTTTGGCCAAGTTGTAGGATTAGTTTTTTCTGCATGAACACTGAGGACGGTGAATGCGGCAGATCTTCTTTCACTGTTGTTCTTTGCAGACTTAATACTACATTTCCGCCGTATTTTGGTCACTAATCTATAATTATATTTGGCAAGTTATTTTTCCTGGACGCAAATTGCGCCGGAACTCCATAACACTGCTAACTGGCGTTCTCTAGTGGCTGCTGTGATATTTCCTTATTTGGTACGAATGATTCGATGGTTGACGCAGTCAACGCCGTAACAGTAATATTTATATTATTTTTGCTTCTGTGATTACAGGCAGTTTCAAAAACTGCGCACATACACTTCACGTGTTTAAAGGCTCTTTTGTATTTAGCGTTCTTCCTAATACCGTAATATTTTTATAAGTCCGTAAGTTTGCGCGAAAACTCCTGCCATATTTTTATTAGACGTACGCATATTGTGCAGTTTTTCAAAAGTAAGACGTGCACCACGTATTGTACGAGGCAGCTATCTCTGGTGTGTTCTCAGCACAGATGTGCACATTCTGTCTTTTGTTGCGTTGCATTGTACTGTGTGGGTGCACTTGCACTGTATTCCTTTCGGCCGCTGCACCAGCAGGCGCGAGTGTCATGTTTCTCACCGAAAAAAATTGGCCAGATTGGGATCTGTGCGGTGCAAATTCGG